TGGCATTCCACACTTTTGAATCCTCGCTATCTGGCGAGAAGAGGGCCGCAGTTTGCTGCGACATCGTTCACAGTGTTGTGCTCGGAACACTTTGTTGATGACGACTTTCATCCTTGCTTTTGCGAAGACGCTGAACGCCCTGCCAGGAGACTCTGGAGCCTGAGAAAAAGGCATGACCCATCCCTGTCTTTGCAAGGAAGATCGACTGCTTGCTGGCGCTGCTCGAGCTGCTGATGTTGAAGTGCAGAGCGACGCAGCCTCATCGCTCAGGTGTGCGGAGAAAGTCATCTGAGTTCGAGCTGTGGCTGTGTGCACGATATGACAGACTTTCACATTATGCACATAGCCACCAAAGTAAAACTCATGGACACTAACCACGGACTTCTTCACTAGTACTACACCATCAGCTCCCTAGCCCTCTTCACTGTCGTCGGCGACTTGCCCCTGCGTTGGAGATGAGCACGCATGGTGTGGCACTCACTCTGGGAAACGTGAGAAGTTCATCACTCATCCACTCGGACGCATGACAAAGTTGGGCATGATGAAGGTACACTCGAGGAAGACTGGTGCCCCTCTTAGTTCTAGGAGCATCAGGGTTCTGCATCGAGAAGCGTTCTCTACATCGACAGAGGAGAGAAGGTAGAGAAAATAAAAATAAATTTCAATCTACAGTAATCCGAAATATCCACTGACTGCGGAAAACTTACCGCTCCAATAACTCCTTCTTTTTCGAGACAGATACGCATCCTCATTCAGCAGAAAACTGTTCAGTTCCTTCACAGACCATTCTTTATTTGACAGCTCCTCCACGGGTTCCACAGCCATCGATGGCAAACCACTCGGCACTCTCTCCTCCATCTCCAAAATGGAAAATACAGTGTTTCACCATGCTCAACAACTGATACTCTGCACAAAAATCGAAGAGGATGCCCCGTCTCGGATCACGTGACCGTTACTGTGCAAAGGGTCTATTGTGTCGTCGTCATCTTTTTGCACCTCGATTTTTCCTGCGGTTGCAAATAAAAAAACAGGCTACTCAAGCCGTCAAGGGCTTGGCGCACGGACTGACCGAGCAGCAGGCAAAAGCCACGCGCGTGGCTAGGCACGCAACAATGGGGTGTCGGGCATACAATGGCGGGAAGCCATACTGGGTAAAGCCCAGGCTGCACCACGAGTACGAGTACGCCCTTATGCGCAGGCCAGACTACCCCATATTTGCATAAAGGTATCAGTGCTACTAAGGCTGTGTTTACATGAAGCGTTTCAACCCGGGTTGAGTTCGACCCGGGTCAGATTTCAACCCGCCATGTGCATAAAATGAATGGCGCGTTTACATGACGCATTGCGCTTGACCCGGGTTGAAATTTCGCCCCAGGTTGATTTCAACCCTCCCCCCCCCCCAAGGGGAGGGTTGAAATCAACCCGGGTCAAGAAAATCGTACAAACGTACTTCTGTGCGTATCTCGCACCAGGTTTGAACAGCACTGCACATGTAAATTTCGCGCGAACGGATTCACGTGACCATACAGGACTGTAGAAGTGGACTTTTGGCGGCATATCAGTATTTGACCCGGGTCAACTGTCTTCATGTAAACGCTCATCGTACAGACTTTCAACCCGGGCTGAACTCGACCCGGGTTGAAACTTCTCATGTAAACACAGCCTAATGCGATGTTTACTACAAGCAGGGCTCATGGCGCCAAATCTCTATAATAGGAAGCAGTTCCTTTCATGGTAAGGAAGGACTCCAGCGCGCGTACTACGCCTCAGCCAAGGTACAGTACTACAATTGCGCTCGGTGAAATCCGGCCCGAAGTGCAAAGCCGGCGCCGTGAAGCCAGCTCCCATTTCATCACTGGCGATTTGTGTGTATGAACTCAACTGTACGCACCTCGTGTAAAATTTCGGAGTGCACGTGTTGCATGCTAAAAACAGTTCAACATTTCTTTCATTAGGGACCTTTCGCACCACACGTACGGGTACGAAACGAATGTTTATTCGTCACCTGTGTTCGAGGATTCATCAGAGTCCCTGCGGAGAGCTCCTCTTCACGAATGGAAGCCTCTTCATTCGTGGCGCGCTCCGAATCCGTCACGTACACATGTTTTGCCAGGTACACATTTTCCCTTGATTCCATGATCCATGCACGTGTGCGTGTAAACACCCCTACGCCAAGCTACCGGCCGTAGTCGTAGTTGCCATACACATTTGCATGTTGTGTATACTTTATTTATAGTGGAAATCAAAACAGGCAAAATGCCTAATAACATTGGACCCACTGTGAATAACATGTTAAAGGATATTGTGGAAAAGTAGATACAAGAGAAAAAGAGAAAGGAAAGAAAAAAAACCAGAAGGTTGGTTGCAACGAACAGATATCAATCCAGTGAGCATTGGAAAACCTATGTCGCTGATAATATATACTGCAAGGCTTGAGATTTAAAATCCAAATACCTATTTAAACATTTTGCTGCTGGTGGCAATCTATTCCACATAATGGCTCCAGCGTGCGTTAGGCGCTTAGCAGAACAAGCAGTGCTAGCAGGTGGAACCACAAGCAAGTTGCTTTGGCCTCCCCGAGTGCGAGTTGAGGGCACATCAGCAAAAAAGGACTGAAATAGGGTGCTACATGCATCATGCAAACATCGCCAGATGAAACAAAACATACTCACAGAAACCTGTAGATCACATACATGCATTCGATTTAGCAGGGGAGCAGTTCTGGCATGACGACTTGCGAAACCTGAATCTGTTTTCAACGAAACAATTACGAGCCGAATCAAACTTTCGTTTCACATTCGATTCGCAGCAAATGCGAAAGGTCTCTATTCACTTCACGGAGTACAGCTCATGAAGAGATAGAGAAGAAAGACATGGCCATTCCCAAAACCTCGTACAGAGTCCACAGTGCAGACAGAACAGCAAACAAAGGACACACAAACATGCTCCGCAATCCCATTCTCGACAGTTTTCTTCGCAAGCCCTATTCCAAAATGGAGAATAATGAGTTATTTGGAGGAAATGAATTGAGTAGACAAGAAAAAATAGCGACCCTCAACAGAGCAGGTCATACTTCGTGACAAATTATGGACATAACCGGTTACAAGAAGACTCAGGTAAGTGAAACAGATCATCAATAATGTGATAAAATAGAGAACAAATCACAAAACAATCTTCGATTCTATTGTCCATGTTCAGGTAGAGGACACATGCAATCGAGTTGAAATTGGAAGATGCGTAGCAAGACAGGCAGGTAGCGGAACAATCCCGAGACTCTCACCTGTGGGCATGGAGTTTGTTGCTGATCACATCGCTGCCAATCGCTTCGCGAGCAAGGAGAAGATTTCTGAGGTTCTGGACACGGAGCAACCTGGTGGGGAAATGGCAGCCCCCCAGCACGGTACACAGAAGCCTCAGACGGAATAATGACAGGTTCGGGCGGCCGGTGCGTAAGTTTGTTTCGAACGAAGCAGCAAAAAACAGCCGGCTAGTATGGGGAATTGAGCATCGCCAGTTTGACTTTGACCGCGTTGTCTTTGCAGACGAGGCATGCTTTGCGTTGGATCTTAACGGACGTGTTATGTCCTGGTACCCGCGGGACGAGAAGCCAATAGTCGAGGTGCCACACTATCCAGCAAAGGTGCACGTTATCGGGGCCATTTCACTTTTCGGAACCGTTCGGCATTTGTCCTTTGCTCCGACATGGAGTGCAGCAACGTTCGCCCAAGGAATGGCAGCCGACATTGTACCGAGTGGCATCGGATTCTTTGCAAACGAGTGGTCCTTGCAGCTCGACAATGCTACGTCCCACACGTCAGCTCAAGCACAGCAGGATCTTCTCGATAGCGGAGTACCCAACATCCTGTTTCAACCTCCCGGACATGAATCCAATTGAGAATCTGTGGGCTCTTCTCAAGAAGAGAATAATTCCACCTCGCTGCGAGAATTCTGACCAGCTTGTGCAGGCACTGCACCTGGAGTGGGACTCGTTGGCTCCTGACACGGTTTCCCCATGCGTGGAGTCACTGCCACGTCGTGTTGAAGCCCTAATCGAAGCAAACGGTGGCCACACGAAATATTGAAGCCCTTCTACTCTGTGTATGAAATAAACTGTTTCGAAACGATCTCCGTCTTCTTTACTTGTCCTCAACTGAAATGAATGTTACCAAGAGTATATAACCCCCCAAGAGTGTGCAACTCTTGATACCCTTTCTATGGGGTACGCCGACGGCGAAAACTCACATCACGTTATGCAGTGTCTCAGTGGTACGTTTCCAGCCCGTTTTTAGCGAGCAGTGGAGTAATAAAAAAGCACTCTCTGACAGAAACTCACTACGCGTATGCAAATCCCCAGCTTGATCATGGCAGATATTCGGATTTCGCGCACGCTATCCTTCGTTTGCATGTAGTACGAAGATATCTGAGACACGTGATGTGAGTTTTCGCCGTCGGAGACCACATATGCAGAGTTGCACACTCTTGGGGGGTTATAATCTTGATGTTACTCTTCTCTTTGTTTGGCGCGGTTTTTTACACTTTGGTGTGAGCATGCATGCGTATGAGTACAGCACATGCACAATTCATACGGCACACGTGCACACTAGCACTTGTACAACTTTGAGGGCGTCAAGGGTCGCATCATCAATTCAACACACGTGAACAGGAATGTTTTTGGTGTGCAGAGATGTCCATAAATGATTCAAAAGAGTTCTTAGTATTGTATACTTGCGCCCATCATATGCCCCTCAACCCACAAGAGGAATATTGCAACATTACTTTGGCTCAAAAAGAATGCAAACTAATCAATCTCGCACCCAGCACTAAAGCATGTATTGGGGTTTTCCAGCTTTAGTTTGTAAACAGTTTGTCAATTGACTTATCACAATGTTGTGCGTGAGACTGCCTCACTTCGTAGTGGATTGTGCATTATACCCTATATAAATACTTTTCTGATGGATAACGCATTAGAATGTCTGGTCATGTGTGCTACCTGTACACAGGACGGTAGTCTTCCTGTTTATTGCGCTGCCGCAAATGGGCATCTGGAACTCGTCAAGTATCTACTAGATCTCCAACCCGAAACGATCTCTGTGAATGGCTATGTAAGTTAAGCAATCTCGATCATTGACTCTCCTTGCTGTAGTCAGTTACTCCTACAGCACTCTTCTTGCCAATCAAGACTACTGTGCTAGCTATATGTCAATTGCTGGGAAGTATCAGGCCGAAACAGCAACCCCACCGATTGATTTACTCCAAAAGTACCTGTGAATATTGGTGACTTTCCTGGCCGGCACTGATAGCTGCACAAAGCACCTCCATTATGCATTTGGTTCACATAAACATTGGTTATGATTAAGAAAGGAAAAGGACAAAATGTTACGAGTTATGGCAAACTATCCACCAACGTAACCAGATCTTATACAGTCAGCGAGTGCGACAAAATGGCACAAAACTGACAAGGAGTACTGAGGCATTCGGCGACCTGACACCTAGCTTTTCCTTTCTTCATCATAACATTATTGGCTCACCATACGAGTTCAAATAAACATTGGTCTCAATCATTTCTGATGTGACCTCATGGACACACTCATCATCAATTCAACACCCATCAACAGGAATGTTTCTGTGTGAGCAGAGATGTCCACAAATGATTCAAAAGAGTTCTTAGTATTGTAAACTTGCGCCCATCATATGCCCCTCAACCCACGAGAGGAATATTACAATATTACTTTGGCTCAAAAAGAATGCAAACTAATCAATCTCGTACCCAGCACTAAAGCATGTATTGGGGTTTTCCAGCACTAGTTTGTAAACAGTTTGTCAATTGACTTATCACAATGTTGTGCGTGTGACTGCCTCACTTCGTAGTGGATTGTGCATTATACCCAATATAAGTACTTTTCTGATGGATAACGTATAGAAATGTCTGGTTATGTGTGTTACCTGTACACAGAACGGTAACCTTCCTGTTCATGGCGCTGCCTTAAAGGGGCATCTGGAACTCGTCAAGTATCTACTAGATCTCCAACCCGACACAATCTCTGCAAAGAACGATGTAAGTTGAGCAATGTCTATCGTTGATACCCCTTAAGCATTTTTTCCAGAACACGGTTTGAGCAATATATGCAACAAATAACATCTAGTCACTCGCGCCAGGCCAGAGCAACAGACCTTAACCTTACGGATTCCAACATCGGCCAGTAGAGCAGACCATGGCACACCAATCACTCTTGGGTCCATACAATGGCCCTCCCTACATACTAAATTGATGTAAATATATTTCCTGGTGTATGTGTGTTTGTGTGTGTGTGTGGGGGGGGGGGGGGGGGCGTGCATGCGTGCGTGCGTGAGTGCGTGTGTGCATACAGCAAGGAAAACCAACTGTCTTAGTCGTTCTTTGCTGATATACTTCGTGTTGTGCAGACCACGTGTGCATTGGTGGTCGATTCTCATAACTTCACAGGTTGTATTGACTACAGTCCATTCGGAAAAAGTTGAGCGCTGGCTCTGGAGAGCTCCCGTATTTGGCGATTTTGTGGTACACTGTGCAATGCCGCGATATTCGAAACTTGAAAAAGGGTCCAAAAAAGGTACCTCAACTGGGTTTCGAACCGGAAATGTACTGTTATGCAAGTGGAGTGAACGGCCTGCATTTTCATGGTTTTTCCCCAATTCAGTGCTTTGGGGGCAAAACCTGGCCGAAATCCTTTTCTTGTTATGGCTAACTCTTTGGAAAACTAGACTTCAAAAGCACAATTGGAAGAGAATTCCATGGGGGACTGCCTAAATAAATAAGACGGAAACTTAAAATTTGACCCATTTATGGCCAGAAGCTAGGATATCATTTATTTCTGAATTGACTGTAGGCAGATATCTGGCACTAGTCTTGATCTGTCTCATTCAGATCTTGTCCACTATCGTTGCTATCGTTTGCGTGCTTCTTTCGTGACGGGAGTACACATGGTACACGGTGTGTATGCGTGTACATGTATGTGTATGTGTTGGGGGAGGGGGAGGGGGGAGGGGGTGTATGTGCATGTTTGTGTGTACATGTATATATTAGGGCTGAAACGATTATATCGGTTATCCGTATAATTGATCATAAAGCAGGATTCACAGAAGCATTTTGCGTTGTGACACACGATGCGACGGTTGCAAAACTGGGAAATCCCCAAATCGCAGCCAACTCGCAGCCCATTTAACTGCCGCAACTGGGCCATCGCAGAAGTTGAGCTCGGCTCAACTTTTGCGATGCGACAAACGATTTGGCGTACGATTTTGACCTTTTCTACAGCAAAGTTGTACAAAGATTCAAGAGTTGCCCGAAAATTTGTACAAGTTGTACCCAACCGCGTGAATACCATGGTGGCGTACCTGCCTGCATTGAACTTCGCGCCAAATCAGCAAGGTATCATCGCTTCGGGGACTTCGCCTGTGAATGGTATTTCGTGAGTTCGCATCGCACGTCTCCGTCGCAAATCGCGTCGCATCGCCAATCGCATAGCAAAAAAAGCTTCTTTGAATCCCCCTTACAACGAAGCGACTTCGATTATGCTGTCTATTTCGATAATGCGATTCCAAATAAATAAATACATAAAAGGAATAAAAAACGTGTACAAGAAGATGTCATGCACATGACTGTACTACGTAGTAGTAGGATCAGATAATGTTACGTACATAAGTCACCGGAGGATGTACCCAGTGTGCTGACGGTGCTCAACACCACGAAAACAGAGCGTTTGTTTGCCAGCTAGCTGGCCTCTGCGTACACCGCAGACACACCCACACACAACAGAAAGATACAGATCACAGTAGTAGTGTGGTATTTGTTCACTCACGATGATAGTTGTGTGTAGTAGTGTGGTTTTTGTTCACTCACGGTGGAAGATGGAAGAGCGTAGTGTATAGATGAGCATGAAGAAGGTTAAGGGCATGCCACCTCACGCATATACATGTACACGTATGTACCAGACCAACATGATGCAAGAAGTGAACCACTGTGGCGAATAGGCCCGCCGGATAATTTACCAGCCAGAAGCTGGCGGAAAAAACCTCAGGACCCCGGCGGAGGCACATCCCTGAGGAAAAACCGGTTAGAATAACCCCATAAGATAAACGAACCAAACGTAGCCTGCAGGACCTATCCCGAAGTGAGAATAAACGGGAGGGCGGGTGGTAAACTACAACGAAAAGAGAAAGACCACGATGAAGAGAAAAGTTTGAGAACACTGACAAAAAAAAACAGCTGACGCAATCCTGGTGCCGTAACTATGGTGAAAATGCTGGCAAAAAATACATTTTTCGTTTTATTCGCTACGCTCAGCCAACGAAAAATAACACTTTTTACCAGCTAGCTGGCCTCTGCGTACACCGCAGACACACCCACACTCGGTGTGAAACTTTGTCGAATGCTCCTGCTATGTCTATAGCCAGCACGCGGACTGCGCCACCACGGTTGGCTTCAGAGACCCAGGAGTGGTTGAGAGACGTGAGAAGGTCAGATGTGCTGAGCCCCTGCCGGAATCCGTACTGGTGGATGGACAGGGCCTTTTCATGCTCAAGATGATTGATTATGGCAGTGTTGACAATCTTCTCCATGACTTTGGAGACAACAGATAACAAGGACACAGGTCGGTAGTTCTTAGCAGCAGAATGAGATTGATTATTGTGTATCGGGACCACACGGGCTACTTTCCAGAGCGAGGGCTGGACATGGCACCGAAAACAGAGTGAGAACAGCTTGGAAATTGGTGCAGCCAAAACCTTTGAGCACAGCTTCAGAAATCTGGCAGGAATGCAATCGGGTCCGGTAGCCTTGGTTGGATCCAGCTGGCGGAGCTGGCGCTGGACTGTCGCTTCCCGAAATCGGACAGTTGTCAGGGCAGATGTACACCTAGGACGAAGGTCAGGAAGGTCGGAATGCTGTAGATCTTGATCACACAGACTGCATTTGCTCGCAAAGAATTCTCCAAAGCAAGTAGCCTTTTCCTGGTTGGTGACATATTCTCTGCCCTGGGTATTGCGTAGGACAGGGATAGACGAGCTGCGGCCAGAGCCTGCAGCTTGCTTCAGGAGTGACCACCATTGCTTGTTTCGCAGTGATCCATGTTTGAGCCGATCTCGGATGTGGGCAGATTCTGCCACACGCTTTCCACATTGGAGGCGAGCGACACGCATGAACGCCCAAACTTTAGCATGACACGTTGAGTGCCCACAACGCATGCCGCCCACGTTGAGCGTCGCGCATGAATGAATGTCGCGTTGAGTGACACGTTGTATGACACATAGAATGCCACGACGCATAGAGTACCATGTGAGCATGCACCAAGGCGTGTGACCAACATGGATACCGTGATGTACAGCGCACGTGACTGTAGCCAGCAGCAAAGCATGAGCATGCAGTAAAGCACCAGCAATCATAGCAGCATAGTTTGAGTGGTAGCACGAAGCAGCCGCGTGCACCCATTAATCTGCATTATTACTATAATGCTACATTAACTACAACACACAGCAGCTTGCGGTTAGGAGGGTGCTGGCCAGCGAAGTGAGAGGCTACAGAGAGAGAGCAGGATCTTGGCGGAGCCAAGAGGATAGTCACGTCCGAGGGACGAAGAACGAGAGCCCTGAGTAGCCGGAAATGAGCATGGCCCATTGTGGCCAGCAAGCCTCGTACCGAAGCAGCCGTGAGCAGGGTTAAAGTCATAGACACTGCCGGTGCAGGATCTTGGCGGAGCCAAGAGAGAGGTCAGAGAGAGGTCACTGCCGGAGCAGGATCTTGGTGGAGCCAAGACAGGGATCACTGCCGGAGCAGGATCTTGGTGGGGTAACCATCACCTACGGTGGGCTACGGTGGGCCACCGGGTAGTTGAGATGGTGGTGGAGCTGAACGTGTCTGTCTTGGAATTGCCGGTGGCAAACATGCACGTTGCCCCGCTGTAGCCACTGTCACATTAGCAGCCTTGCTAGCGTTCGGCCTTCGACTGCTTAAGTGTGGCAATGATTCATGTATCGTTGATATGGAGACGAGGCAAGGAAATAGAAAGGTAGATAGACACAGAAACAGACAGGCAGGCGACAAACACAAACAGACAGATGATTCAGGGTCAGCCGGGTAGACACTGCCGAAGCAGAATGTTGGCGGAGCCATTATCTACAAGAGTCTGCGTCCGAGGGACGGCGACCGAGGGCCCTGAGTAAAGAGAGGGGTCACTGCCGGAGCAGGATCTTGGCAGGGCCAAGAGAGAGGTCAGACAAGAGATATACGTAGACACTGCCGGAGCAGAATGTTGGCGGAGCCAAGTATCTACGAGAGAGGATTCACGGTCGGCCGGGTAGACACTGCCGAAGCAGAATGTTGGCGGAGCCAAGTATCTACAAGAGTCTTCGTCCGAGGGACGGCGACCGAGGGCCCTGAGTAAAGAGAGGGGTCACTGCCGGAGCAAGATCTTGGCAGGGCCAAGAGAGAGAGGTCAGAGAAGGGTCACTGCCGGAGCAGGATCTTGGCGAAGCCAAGAGAGGGGTCACTGCCGGAGCAGGATCTTGACAGGGCCAAGAGAGAGATCAGAGAGGGGTAACTGCCGGAGCAGGATCTTGGCGGAGCCAAGGGAGGAGTCAGAGAGGGGGCACTGCAGAGAGAGATCTTGGCGGAGCCAAGAGAGGGACGAGGACAAAAAGCCCCCTGGGTAGCTAGGCAATAAATGTTTGTGCATTGAGACAGCATGTGGTAAAGAGGATACTGACAAGAGTTCAAGCAACACGGATGAGAACCAGCAAGACAGTTACCTTGATGATCTCCTTGGCGGTGTCCCTCATTCCACGCCAGATAAATGCTCGTGCAGCAAAGGGAGCTTGCCCAAATAGAAGGACGAACTTTGCTGCGGTGATTGGCTAGACCATGGTGTCAGGTCGCTCCGCAGCTGTGGGAGCGAAAGGTTCTGGAGTCATCCAACTTGGTCCAGGCAGAGCATTGATGGCATTGAAGTTGACTGGCAGGTGTGATGCTCGAAACAGTAAATGGAACTGGACACAAATCAAGTAGAGGGTGTAACAG